CAAAAAATCCACCCGGCCCCAAATGTGCGGATCCTCCATGAGGAGGGAACCAGGAACAGGGATTTGGTTGTGCCGATGCCGTTGATTTTTATTTGTATTTTATTTTTATAGAATATAGTAGAGTTTTATATATATATATAAATATATATAAATAAATATATATAAATATATGTATTTAAATATATATAATTATTTTATACATATATATAAATATATATATACATATATACAAAAATACATATATAAATTTTTTTTTCATTAAAAAATCCAGAAAAATTAAAACAATTACCTGGAGCTCGAAATATTTGGGTTCCAGGAAGAGGCGGTTGAGGACGGAGGTGAATTGGTTCACAGCCCGCAGGAAAACCCTGCAGGGAGAAAAAAATGGAAATAAAACCCTGAAGGGATAAAAATGAATCAAAATAAAAACCATGAAGGGATAAAAAAAAGAAAATTAAAACCCTGAAGGGTTAGAAAGAAATCAAAATAAAAATGCTAAAAGGATAGAAAGAAATAGAAATAAAAACCCTAAAAATAAATCAAAATTAAATCCCTGAAGRCATAAAAATGAATCAAAATAWAAACCATGAAGSGATAAAATAAATGAAAGTAAAAATGCTGAAGAGATAAAAAAAATCAAAATAAAAACCATGAAGAGATAAAAATAAATCAAAATAAAAACCGCGAAGGCCTAAAAATCCGCCGTTCCCCTGGTGGAAACGCACCGGAACTGCAATTTATGAAAATCTGATTTAAATGGAAGAAAATGAAATTTTTGTGTGAATCCTGCTGATCCCAGCCCAGGGAGACCCCAAAATGGGAGAATTCACCAAAAATGGGAGAATTCACCAAAAATGGGAGAATTCACCCCAAATGAGGCGGTACCTGTTCTGTGTCATGGTCATCACCAGAGAGACCCCAAAAATGGGAGRATTCACCAAAAATGGGCGAATTCACCAAAAATGGGGAATTCACCCCAAATGAGGGGTACCTGCTCTGCGTCATGGTCATCACCAGGGAGACCCAAAAATGGGAGAATTCACCAAAA